TAAACCTACTTCTATGTAACCATAAAATAATATTGTACTCAAATTGTGACTGTTATTTATAAAGTGGAATTTCCTTTATTTCACAATAATGTGGAAAGTGTAAAACAATATACCACTATGAATTTGCATTATAAGGAAACAAATCGAGCCAGATTATAAACATAATTCATGGCAAAGAAGAATGAAAATCACCAAAGCATGTTACCAATTGCCTTCTTCAGGCTTCCATTTGGGGCTTCATTTTGCAGTGCTCATTCAGGGTTGCCACAGGTCAGGTAATGGTCAGAACAAAATATTCTTCAAGGTCAGGGAATCGTATTTTGAGATATGAAACATTCACATTTTGAAGAAAGGTCAGGAAAAATTGAGCTGATTAAACAATGCTGTTTTAATACCATTGAAATTTTGAAAACTTATCTGTCTTGATGAACGAGTGGAAAGGGTGGCTGTAAGTTGAGGCCAGAAGCCACTATTCCATGTAGATCTGACATTTTGTATTTATTTGGTCAGGGAAATGTGATTTTTATCAGGAAAAAGTCACAGAATTTTGAAAAGGCAGTAGATCCTTGTCTAGTTTCAAGTGATCTATGTATTTGGGCAAATTCTGTAAGGGCAGATGGTTGTCCATGACTGAGAAAAAAACTCTATTTCGATTTTTCTCCCACAGCTGTGACATTGTCTAGTTTACTCTTCTGCTTTTCATGCTGCTTCTTGAGATCTATGAGTTCTGCCTACAATGCTGATATTTTGATTTTGTAACTGGAGAAGGACTTGTAATTTCTCCTCAAGTTTGAAGTCATTTTCTTTCATTTCATCCACTTTTTTATCAAGGGGTTTATTCTCCTGACTGTCAGCTATCATTGATAGCCCCGCAGTGTGGTGTTGTTGATAAAGTTCATGGCTAATTGCACTTGGCCAGTTTTTTGGTGGTTTTTATATGTTGTGTGATTCTACACTCTCATTTCGGTCAGAGAGCAGTCATATTTTGGATAACATCACTTCTTCCTTTTGGAGTGCAAGGAGCACTTCTGTGACTGGCTATTGCTTGGAATTACGTCCAGCTTGTTTCGAGAAATGTGGCCTTATACTCCACTCACGAAGGGGCAAAGTGGATGAGTGAGAAATGTCATTGGCTGTTTTCAAACTACAGTAGTGAATATGCTTGGAGTAGAATCATAATTATTAAATTAGTCCTTGTTTATGGGTGAAACGAAAATTTGCATTTGTAACTGTCTTACCAGCTACCTCCAGCATTGGAACAAACAAGCACACCTCCCCTGTGTTTTTGAGAAAACAAGAGTATAATGTTGTAACATACCTTTGTAAGGCAAACAGAAGAATCAAGTTGCAGATGTTAAATTTACAAGAAAAATTGTCATGTTTGTTGCTTAAACTTCTTAAAGAATTTAAAAAGTTTTAAAATTTAAAGTTTGTAATGATTATTTTAAGTTACATTTTTGTAACATGAATGAAAATACACAGT